GAACTTCAAATACCAAATTTGAAACAATTCCGCTGAATAATGTCGCTAAAATCATAAAAATACCGAATATCGGGAGGTGCCGTTATATGTGGGCTATACGAAGACTTGGACCTGCACAGACAATTTTCTGTCATAGGCTGTAGTATCCATTACGAACTTCAAATACCAAATTTGAAACAATTCCGATGAATAATGTCGCTTAAATCACCAAAATACCGAATATAGGGAGGTACCTTTATATGGGGGCTACACGAAGACGTGGACCTGCAATGACAATTTTCTGTCTTAGGTTGTAGTATCCATTACGAACTTCAAATACCAAATTTGAAACGATTCCGGTGAATATTGTCGCCAAAATCATAAAAATACCGAATATCGGGAGGTGTTGTTATATGGGGGCTATACGAAGACGTGGACCTGCACATACAATTTTCTGTCTTAGGCTGGCTTAGGTGAATTGGTCACCTTTGTCAGGAATTATGGCCTTCAAACGGCCAATGAAACCGTCGTCACACGCTGCCCGAATGTTGCTCTGCGGTATTTTGGCCCATTCGCGGCGAACCTCAAGCGATCGACACTTTGGTATTTTTTGTGCCAACCTTGCATTCCAAAATACTCCAGACACAATAGTCCAACGGATTGATATCCGGAGATTTTGTTTAGCCATTGTGCGCTGGAAATGAAGCGAGGAACCTCATTTTGTAACCATTCTTGGTTGGCGCATGTTGCGTGCGATGGTGCTGAGTCCTGTTGGAATGTCCAAGGTCTGCGGCCAATTATTTGCCTGCCCAAGGCTTTAATACACCCTCCAGAATTTTTTCGCCATAGTATTCGGCATTTATTCTGATGCCACGGTCGAGCGGAGAGCGGCCATCGGCTGTTATGGCGGCCCACACACAATCACCATGGCCGGCTCTTGAGTTTTGTTCCGGTGGCCAACCGAAGGTGCAAATTTTCGGCTGTCCTCTTTGGCAAGTAAACACGATAATTTTGTTTGTTTACAACTTCTGCTGGACAACGAACGAATGTTTTCTCATCGGAGAGCGGAAAAAACCAAATTCGGCAGTTCACCACTTTCGGCCAAGCGAAGCAACTCTTTAGCTCTTTTGAGTCTATTTATACCCTACACCACAAGGTGGTCAGGGTATTATGTCTTTGTGCATTTGTTTGTAACATGGAGAAGGAAGCGAGATAGACCCATAGTTACTTTTGAGAATCTCCATAGAATCACATTCTGAGTCGATTTCCGTCCGTCCGTCCGTCTGTTCATGTATTTTTCTAAACAAAGTACAGTTCGCATTTATTGCCCGATCCAGATGAAATTATGCACAAATCATTTGTTTGGCCCAAGGACGAACCCTATTTAAATTGGAGATAATAGGTAAAAATTTAGATATAGCCCCCATATATATCTTCGTCCGATTTGCCTTTTATTGAGCACCAAACGTGTAATATCAGCCCGAATAGTATGGAATTTTGCACATACAACCAAATTAGGCCTGAAAATAAGTATGGCAAATTTGCTCGAAATCGGTTCAGATATAGCTATAGCTCCCATATATAACTTCGTCCGATTTACTATTTTTTGTGCACCAAACGTTTAATGTTTACCCAAATGGGATGAAATTTGGCACATACGACCGAATTGAGTCTAGAAGCTAGTATGTCAAATTTGGTGAAGATCGGTTCAGATATAGCTGTAGCTCCCATATATATTGTTCATCCGATTTGTAGTATTTGTTACCCATAGCCGTAATATGCACTCCGTAACAACGATATTCAGGGAAATATATCGAATACAGCTCAGAAATACCTTTGCCAAATTTTATCGAGATCGGTTCAGATTTGGATATAGCTCCCATATATAACTTCGTCCGATTTAGCTTTTATTGTTCACCAAACGTTTAATGTTTACCCAAATGGGATGAAATTTGGCACATACGACCGAATTGAGTCTAGAAGCTAGTATGTCAAATTTGGTGAAGATCGGTTCAGATATAGCTATAGCTCCCATATATATTGTTCATCCGATTTGTTATTTATGTCCTCCGTAGCCGTAATATGCACTCTCTAATAACAATATTTGGGGAAATATATCAAATACAGCTCAGAAATATATTTGCCAAATTGTATCGAGATCGGTCCAGATTTGGATATAGCTCCCATATATAACTTCGTCCGATTTACTATTTTTTGTGCACCAAACGTTTAATGTTTATCCAAATGGGATGAAATTTGGCACATACGACCGAATTGAGTCTAGAAGCTAGTATGCCAAATTGGGTGAAGATCGGTTCAGATATAGCTATAGTTCCCACATATATTTTTCATCCGATTTGTGGTATTTGTTACCCACAGCCGTAATGTGCACTCTGTAACAACAATATTTGGGGAAATATATCAAATCCAGCTCAGAAATACCTTTGCAAAATTTTATCGAGATCGGTTCAGATTTGGATATAGCTCCCATATATAACTTCGTCCGATTTACTATTTTTTGTGCACCAAACGTCCAATATTTGCCCAAATAGGATGAAATTTGGCACATACAACCGAATTGAGTCTAGAAGCTAGTATGTCAAATTTGGTGAAGATCGGTTCAGATATAGCTATAGCTCCCATATATATTGTTCATCCGATTTGTAGTATTTGTTACCCACAGCCGTAATAGGCACTCCGTAACAACGATATTCAGGGAAATATATCAAATACAGCTCAGAAATATCTTTCCCAAATTTTATCGAGATCGGTTCAGATTTGGATATAGCTCCCATATATAACTTCGTTCGATTTACCTTTTATTGTACACCAAACGTCTAATATTTGCCGAAATAGGATGAAATTTGGCACATACAACCGAATTGAGTCTAGAAGCTAGTATGTCAAATTTGGTGAAGATCGGTTCAGATATAGCTATAGCTCCCATATATATTGTTCATCCGATTTGTAGTATTTGTTACCCACAGCCGTAATATGCACTCTCTAATAACAATATTTGGGGAAATATATCAAATACAGCTCAGAAATATATTTGCTAAATTTTATCGAGATCGGTTCAGATTTGGATATAGCTCCCATATATAACTTCGTCCGATTTACTATTTTTTGTGCACCAAACGTGTAATATCAGCCCGAATAGTGTGGAATTTCGCACATACAACCAAATTAGGCCTGAAAATAAGTATGCCAAATTTGATCGAAATCGGTTCAGATATAGCTATAGCTCCCACATATATTGTTCATCCGATTTGTAGTATTTGTTACCCACAGCCGTAATATGCACTCCGTAACAACGATATTCAGGGAAATATATCAAATACAGCTCAGAAATACCTTTGCAAAATTTTTTCGAGATCGGTTCAGATTTGGATTTAGCTCCCATATATAACTTCGTCCGATTTACTATTTTCTTGTGCACCAAACGTTTAATGTTTACCCAAATGGGATGAAATTTGGCACATACGACCGAATTGAGTCTAGAAGCTAGTATGTCAAATTTGCTCGAAATCGGTTCAGATTTGGATATAGCTTCCATATATATTGTTCATCCGATTTGTTATTTGTGTCCTCCGTAGCCGTAATATGCACTCTGTAACAACAATATTTGGGGAAGTATATCAAATACAGCTCAGAAATACCTTTGCAAAATTTTATCGAGATCGGTTCAGATTTGGATATAGCTCCCATGCATAACTTCGTCCGATTTACATTTTATGGTACACCAAACGTTTAATATGTGCCCAAATAGGATGAAATTTGGCACATGCGACCGAATTGAGTCTAGAAGCTAGTATGCCAAAATTGGTGAAGATCGGTTCATATAGAGCTATAGCTCCCACATATATGTATATTGTTCATCCGATTTGTTATTTTAGTCCTCCGCAGCCGTAATATGCACTCTGTAATGACAATATTTGGAGAAATATATCAAATACAGCTCAGAAATATTTTTGCCAAATTTTATCGAGATCGGTTCAGATTTGGATATAGCTCCCATATATAACTTCGTTCGATTTACTATTTTTTGTGCACCAAACGTTTAATGTTTACCCAAATGGGATGAAATTTGGCACATACGACCGAATTGAGTCTAGAAGCTAGTATGTCAAATTTGGTGAAGATCGGTTCAGATATAGCTATAGCTCCCATATATATTGTTCATCCGATTTGTTACGCACAGCCGTAATATGCACTCCCTAACAACGATATTCAGGGAAATATATCAAATGCAGCTCAGAAATATCTTTGCCAAATTTTATCGAGATCGGTTCAGATTTGGATATAGCTCCCATATATATTTTTATCTGATTTTTTGGTTTTTTATCCATTTGTTTTTTGGTATTTTTTTTTAGATTTCATTTTTAATTATTTATTTTATTTGCTTTTTTTAATTATTTTATTGTTTTTTTTTTTTTTTAATTTAATTATTTAACTAAAACTATTTCGGGAATAGATTTACTTTTTATAATTTTTATTTATTTATTACTATTATTATTATTTTCTTATATATATAAATATCTATGTATATATATTTATTCCTATATTTATATATAATGAATGTATGTTACATTCTAGCTTTTCTAGTATTGTCCATAGGTATAAAAAATTGAATTTTTCTGTTTTTGATATTTAAACTAATTACGTTTAAGGTCATATGTATATAAATATAAACGACTATACCTTGTTGCGGTCTGCTGTTGTTTTTTCATTTCTTTTGTTTTTTTTGTCTTGAGTTGAACACTTTAAATAGAAAATTTTAAATAAAAAATTCAAGTTCTTTAAAAACAAACTGTGCGTTTTGTCCATACAAAATTACACAGAGTTGAGTACAAAAATACATATATATGTATGTATGTCTGTATATATATATATAAAAACAAAAAAAAAAACTAATAATGATATGCTACAATTTGCTACAATTTCATGTCTTATTAATATTTCTTGTTAGTGTTTGGAGAGGGAGGGGGGGTTGTTTTTACAAGTTCATTTTTTCAGGGGGGGGGGGGGATATTTCATTAAAAACATTTTCATACATATTGCTTTTGATATTTAACTATGTTTATAAACAAAAAAAAATAATACAATTGGAAAATTAAAAATACGAATTCATTTGGCAACTTGTTTACAATAACTTTTGGGGAATAGATTTCCCATTTAAAATATTTTTTTTAAATATCGACTAAAATACAATTTAAAAATAAAAAAGCTTAAAAATAAATTTTCTTTTCTGGAAGTAATTGGAATAGCTTTTTTTCTTAAAATAAATTATTAAATAATATACAAAAGGAAAAAAAGAAAATTAAGTACATAAGTTTGTCTCGTAGGAAGGCCATCAAACATTTGCCCTAGACATCAATACAACATAATTGTATTCTATTTACAAAAGGAATTTGCGCTTCCTTTTCCGTTTCCATTTCTATTTCGGTTTAATCTTCTCATACATATAACGTTGTATTTGCTTTTTGTCCGGCTGTAGAAGTTTTCGTTTGTTAAACTCAAACTGCTGCAGGGCATATTCGTATAGCTCATTTTCCATTTTCCAAATTTTAGACTCCATTATAGCTGCCACAGTCTCTTCGCTGGGTGGACGTTTATTTAGGGTATTGCGTAGATGAGATTTATTGGAATGTTGATAGTATTCACGGAAACCATGGAACATTCTGAAAATAGAAATAAAAAGTGAATGTGAATACATTTCTTAGAGGGAAATCTGGGATTAAATAGATTTTTGGAGAATTTTTAAACAAAACAATATTTTTAAGGATATTTTTTTTTTTTGGGTGGGGGGGAGGTTGTGCTGGATAGGCAGGAAGGCAAATCTATTTTATGGTTGTTTATTTTTATAACCTCCACCATATTATGGAGGGTATATTTTGTTTGTCACAAAGTATAAACAGGATGAGATAAAAAAATGCAACGAAGTCAAACGCCATAATTTTACTTTTTTTTAAATTTTTTTGAATAAAAGAAAAAAAAATTCGGAAATAGCATCAAATTTTAGAATAAGTTTAGATTTGTTCGGATTGGTCAAACTTGGTACGAATTTTGGCCTTCAAATGACCAATAAAACCGTCACACGCTGCCCGATTGTTGCTCTGCGGTATTTTGGCCCATTCCCGGCGAAGCGCTTGCTTGAGGTGATCGACATTTTGGTATTTTTTAGTACCAACCTTTCTTTCCAAAATACTCCAGACTCAATAGTCCAACGGATTGGTATTCGGTGATTTTGGTAGTCATTGTGCGCTGGAAATGAAGCCAGGAACCTCATTTTGTAACCATAATTGGGTGGTGCATGCTAAGTGCGATGGTGCTGAGTCCTGTTGGAATGTCCAAGGTCTGCAGCCAAAATGTTTGCGTGCCCAAGGTTTTAATACACCCTCCAGAATATTTTCGCGATAATATTCGGCATTTATTCTGATGCCACGGTCGATTTATACGAGCGGAGAGCGGCCATCGGCTGTTATGGCGGCCCACACACCATGGCCGGCGATTAAGTTCTGGTGGCCAACCGAAGGTGCACATTTTCAGCTGACCTCTTTGGCAAGTAAACACGATCATTTTGTTTGCTTATAAACAAAATCCATTTCAGGACATTTGGAGACGATCTAGAGATGTCCATATGTCAATCTGGCGTGCTGTCTGGTGCCCACGATAAATCTCGAAGGGAGTATCCGATTCGGACCAAACTTGGTACATCGTAATATTATTATTATTATTAAACTTAGATCGAGTTTGGAGATGGACAATATTGGTAAACTCCTTCTGGTACTTCAGTTTGAAATTTTCAAAAAAAAAAAAAATATTAAACTGCACAGAAAGAGGAAGGATAATCCGATCTTGCTCCAATTTTTCAAATCCTAATATTTGTATCAGTGCTAGTGCGAAAATGGGCAATATCGATCCACACCATCAAGGACCTCCCCCACAAAGGGATAATGTTTTGAATAATTACAACATTTATAAAATGTGATGTAAGAGTTCGATTGTCTTCATATTTCGCTCATCCCATTATTTCTACTAAGAAAAGTTCCGCTGTGAAGATGGAATATATCGGTCCACTTCCTTTGGTATCTCCCCCACAATTTTGAATATCCATGAAGCTCAAAAAAAAACACGAAATTAACATCCAATTCCCTTCAGACTTGGTACGTCTCAATATTTCCAACCAAAACAAGATCTCTTATAAAGATGGAAGAAACCGGACCATTTCTTCTGGTACCTCTCCCATACAGAATTCAAGAACAAATCGCTTAAAGAAAGCGAAAAAAACATCCAACTCTGTTCCAATTTCCCACATACAAACATTTTTGCTAACACAATATCAGTTGTGAAGATGATTTATATCGGTAAACCCGTTCTGGTACCTTACCTACATTAGGTGAGGGTGTATATCTGTCGGCAAAACCGACTGATGCTTTTTAATTTGTTTTTTTGTTTTTTGATATACCCTCAATGATTTTTCGGATACCTTTTTGGGGAGTTCATTGTGGTTTTTTGCAAAGCTGTTGTAGGAGATCTTATTGTTATTTAACATATTTAAGGACAATCTACTTTTTTAACAAACTTTGTTATTTATAGAGTTCCTTAATTCAATCGAGTCATTTCTTTCTCAATCCCCAATTTAAAAAAAAAAAGTTTAATTTTTGAAAGACCAAAAAATTACAAAAATTTAAGCTTTGGTGTTTACATACCTTGGCAATGATTTCTCCAGCAAATCGACAAAATCTTCCATTTGTTCCGTGACGCCAACGAGAAAATACTTATTAACCAAATTATTTTTAGCCTCATTTAGGGCCCATTGACTGCCCGGCTCCCAACATTCGGCTGCATGACCACAAAAGAATGGTATTTGCAGCCACATATTTTTCGGATCACAATCGGGCTGTTTTAGTTTAACACACTCATCGAAGGTCTGGAAAAGAAAGAGAGATTAGAGAGATTTCCCCATTTTCCTTACAATTACTTACAATTTTATTGCCAGCCTTCTTACGTACTAAATTCGGACGATAGTTATCACCATAACGTAGAAAATAATAATAGGATACCAGCCTATCTAATGGCTTACGTACTAAATTAATATAAATTGGATTGTGCGATATCTGGAATCTGTAATGGAATAACGGAAAATTGATTAAATGTTGAATATTACAAGTAAGAAAGATGTAAATTCGGCCGTGCCGAACTTTGAATGCCCTTTAGTACAAAATTTGGCAATTTTCAAAAAATAAAATCCGTTAAAAATTCTTTTAAAATCTTCAAAATACCGAATGTAGCTTTATATTAGGGTCTATGTGACGATGTGGACCTGCATAGGCAACTTTTGTCACAAGCTACAATATTGAAATGCGAAACTTGAAAAAAATCTGTTTATAATGTAGCTAAAATCATCAAAATACCGAATATAAGGAGGTACCATGGGGGTTATAAAATGTGGACCTGCACAGACAATTTTCTGGCATAGGCTGTAGTATCAAACATGAACTTCATATGCGAAATTTGAAACAATTCCGGTAAATAATGTCGCTAAAATCATCAAAATATCGCATATCGGGAGGTACCGTTATAGGGGGGCTATACGAAGACGTGGACCTGCACAGACAATTTTCTGTCATAGGCTGCAGTATTCATTACGAACTTCATATGCGAAATTTGAAACAATTTCGGTAAACAATGTCGCTTAAATCATTAAAATACCGAATATCGGGTGGTACCGTTATATGGGGGCTACACGAAGACGTGGACCTGCACAGAGAATTTTCTGTCATAGGCTGCAGTATTCATTACGAACTTCATATGCGAAATTTGAAACAATTCCGGTAAATAATGTCTCTAAAATCATCAAAATACTGGATATCGGGAGGTACCTTTATATGGGGGCTATACGAAGACGTGGACCTGCAAAGACAATTTTCTGTCATAGGCTGCAGTATCCATTACGAACTTCAAATACCAAATTTGAGATAGTTCCGGTGAATAATGTCTCTTAAATCATAAAAATACCAAATATTGGGAGCTATCTTTATATGGGGGCTACGCGAAGACGTGGACCTACATGACTCATTTTCTGTTTTATGCTGTAGTATCTATTACGAACTTGAAATGCCAAATTTGAAACAATTCCGGTAAATAATGTCGCTAAAATATAACTTAATATAACCTCCATACTGTGGAGGAGGGTATAAAAAGAAAAGTTGTTCTTAAAATGCTAGGGGAAATTTTGGCAGCTAATACTGTGTCGATGCGAAAGTGAATTCGAAAGAATAACATTTTGTTCTCAAGCTACACTGTCTGTCCGGCTGGTTGTCTGCCTGTTGTAATCACGCTATCTTTGAAACAAATAGAGATAGAAGGCGAACATTTTTTTGGAAATTTTTCAATTTCCTTGGTGGAGGATGCTAAATGTTCGGCCCAGCCAAATTTAGCAACTTTTTACTTGTTCTATTTAAAATAAATTTAATAATTCGGTATTTTCTTTCAGAGTTCCCAAGTCCTTCTCATAGCTTAACAGCCACCAAGACTCTCAATTACTCACTTTGAAAAATCCAAATATGCCACATGTCCATGATATAAAGCTGGCTTCATTTCATGCCATTTGGTGACATTACGAGCAAATGAGACCTGTTGAAAATCAAAAAAACAAAATTGATGAGTAGTTTTCCCCCAAAAAAAAAATTCATTATTCAACCGAAAAGCTTCGTCGCATCACCCACCTGATTTGGTAATGACAATACGTGACTATTCGCTGTTATGTTGATATGCAGAACATGGAAACGATTCCTTTTACACAAATCATAGGCGATATTTACAAAACTTGTTGAACCCGTTTTGGGTACACGATTATAGAGCACCACCAGCTGTTCTTCATAATCGAAATTATCCAAAGAGATAGCTTTGCGCCACTCATCTACCCCCAATACGGATGGTTGTCGTTGATTAGTCAAGGGTTTCAAAGCTAAAACGAAACAAAATGAAAACGATATTAGTCAACGTAATTCTAAGAATTTTGTTTGTCTGTGCATGCATGTTATGCAAATATGCCCGGCCATACGTACCAACAATTTTCACTTCGGTACCAAAGACCCAATATCCTATGACTATCAGACATATTGTACTCATTAGAAAGAGCCAATGTTTGATGTTTGTCAACAACATTTTTCTCATTCCAAAGTGGTGTGGATGGTGTAATTCTGTCTGTTGGCTTGTTTGCTCTGCTGCTCCCCTGAATTTATTTGTGTGCGGCAGGCGACCAACTGCCCGTCCACACACAATAATGTCGTTTGGTTTTTATTTTCTTGGATTTCGTTTTAATTTACACATTTTGTTGTTGCCTCTTTTTTTTTTGTAGCTAAAGACCAGCTTTTCTTGATTGGATTTGTCCAGATATGCTTCCACAAGTCTTTTATTTATAAATATTATTGGGATCTAAAATATTTCCTTTAATTTAGCTTTGAATGAATAAATCATTTCCTGGACAAGCTTTACATAGTCCCTGCAACAGTCTGGACTCCACTTTCAGGCAAGGGGACAGAGAAATCCACTTGAACTTGGAATTTGTTTACAAAATGTGTTGGCTGCTGGCATTTACTTCCTTCTTTGGCAGCTTTCAATTGACACTCAATGCCCTGGGGTAATCTTGTTTCGTTTTGAGATTTATGTGATTGTTGTCGATTCTTTGCTTCTTGGAATTTAATTTATTTAATTTTTAATACAGTAATAGGGAGTTAATTTAGTTTTGTGGTTTTGGTTTTTTATTTCTTTTTTATTTTCTATTCGATTGACAGATGTGTGAACTTTGGTAAAATTATACAGGTAGCCGCAACAAGACAGCTGTTCACACCATCAACTGTCAAAACATAAATGAAATTCTAAATTTTGAATACAAAATTATGCAACTGGGTGTTTAATAAATGCAAGTTATTGTATAAAAACTGAATGATATAATAATAGCAAATAATTAAGTCTTTTTTTGAGAGAATTTTTAATAGCTTTGACATTATTAATGTTCGAAAGTCGATGCATCGGCCTGTATAACTCTACCATGAAAGAGACTCACCACACACCACTACCACGTCAAACATATGTTTCATGGTGCAATAATAAAGTTAGTCGCATCAACGCATCCAGTGGTACAATCATGGTAGAAGAATACAGGCAGTCGCTTCAACGCAGCTGCTGGAACAATGAACTGTCAAACCAATTTTAAAATTGAAAATGTTGAATGAAAATGTATTTAAATTCGTTAAAATCGTTGAAAAATGCATATCATAACAACATCCGATTGGCGTCGCATAAGAAAACATATAGAAATCTACTTATTTTTGAAAAAAACAAAAAAACATTTTAAAATTTTTGCAAATCAATGTTCCGAGGCTTTGATGCATCATCTACCTATATTCTTCTACCATGGGCACAATACAATGTGAATTTATTTTTTGTTTTTGGAATTTAAAAAAAATAGACTATTTAGGTAGGCAAGTTTTCATGGTACAATCACCAAGGTAATCTCATGCTATCATACAATCAATTTTTTTTATGTTAGTACCTTCATTTTCAAATTTATATTTTGTAATTATTCCTTAAATATGAGCTTAAAGCTGCATCTATATTCGACCAAATATTTTGTTATTTTCACGATTTTTAGAGGCTGTAAAGGTCAAGGAAAAATATGATCTGAAACGGAAACCAAAAATATTTGTCTGAAAAGACATGTAAGACTTAATTATGGAAGGGTTGAAATAGATTTCGCTTTGGACAATATTACGTTTTTTTGCTACAATACTGGTAAAATATTGTCCCCCCATTTTTACTCGAATTTGCATTAAACTCATTACAAGAAATTCTCCGCGTAATTTTTTTTTTGTAGTACATAATCTATATAGCAGATATTATGAAGATTTTGGTATCATTTTTCAGCTGGTAATTCTTGGGTTTTTATCGTTGAAGACGGACTTAAAGTGAAAGGTCATTAGGGGTCTACACAAGAACTAACATCACCGAAAACATTTCCTTAAGGTAAAGGGTTTGGAATCTCTATCTTTATATGTTTAAGTCCAAGAATACATAAGTAAACTTGGTATACCTAAAATATGGAACATATAACTGTTTTTTATTTATTTTTATTATTTTTGTAAAATCAGCCAGTTGTCGTACGAAAATATTTTAGATTTGAAAATAACAGCCAGTTCCACGATATCGAAAGAACACGTTCGCACAACTTTTACACGACAAACAGCTGATTTCCGTTCCACTAAAATCTATCAGAACGAAAATTTGCACGAAAATCAAAGCGAACGAAAACGTAAGCATTTCAGTGTAATTTTGCGTTCCACTATCTTTTTTCTTTCGTACGCATGCGAACACAAATGTCAAAATCAGTCACTTGTGTGTTTGCTATCGTATAATAACAATTAAGAAAAATTGTTTTAACATAAACATTGCTTGATTGAAAATGGAAACAAAAATGTAAGTAAAAATAATAAATGCAATTTAATATGTGAACAACAAATATATATTTTTTTATTTTCTCAATTCCAGCACGAAAAAATCATCAACTACACAGCTGCGGGCACTAGTTGAGTAAATGGAGGAGAATCCTGTGTTCGCCAGAGGAATGCCAATTTTTGGAAGCAGCAGAAGAAGTTTTAAATCGGGGCGGATTTGGGTAGTTCTGCAACCGGGCACCCACTTCTCTTCCATCATATCCAAAAGAGCCCGAAAACTTCCTTCGACACACGAAAGTTGGCCACAAACCTAGAAAAAATCATTTTTTATTATTTCAAAAATGTAAAAATACAATCATACTTACTGGTTGTTAGGTACTTCAAATAAATTCGAAGCATCTCTTAAATGCCTCCGTGGCACATTTCGAACCTCCTCCATAAAAAATAGGGCTACGGAAATATTCTTTTTTTTTATTTTCTAAGAGCACAAATAGTTTGAACACAATCACAAGAAATTTTATTTTGTTTGTTTATTTACAATTTGTTTGTTTACAACTGAAATGTCAGTTGAGACAGAGCCACTGCTGCTTTTTCGCGTTTAAATTAGACATTTGACGCTTTTTTTGCTTTATTTCGCGATTAATTTTTCCAAAAAAATATTTAGCAACACTGAATCACGTAAGGCTATGCGAAAGAAAGAACGAAAGTTAGTGGAACGCATTCTTATACGAAAGTGAGTGAGTAGCCTTCGTTCGCACAAATTTTCTTTCGAGATCGTGGGACAGGCTGTAAATGTTATTTGAAAAATGACAAGGTCGATTTAGTCAGAAACGGGTTGCCATATTAAATTTAGCAAATGAGTTTAAACAACTAGTTGAATTTGCTAATAATAAACTTGCAGCCAGTTCCACGATATCGAAAGAACACGTTCGCACAACTTTTACACGACAAACAGCTGATTTCCGTTCCACTAAAATCTATCAGAACGAAAATTTGCACGAAAATCAAAGCGAACGAAAACGTAAGCATTTCAGTGTAATTTTGCGTTCCACTATCTTTTTTCTTTCGTACGCATGCGAACACAAATGTCAAAATCAGTCACTTGTGTGTTTGCTATCGTATAATAACAATTAAGGAAAATTGTTTTAACATAAACATTGCTTGATTGAAAATGGAAACAAAAATGTAAGTAAAAATAATAAATGCAATTTAATATGTGAACAACAAATATATATATTTTTTATTTTCTCAATTCCAGCACGAAAAAATCATCAACTACACAGCTGCGGGCACTAGTTGAGTAAATGGAGGAGAATCCTGTGTTCGCCAGAGGAATGCCAATTTTTGGAAGCAGCAGAAGAAGTTTTAAATCGGGGCGGATTTGGGTAGTTCTGCAACCGGGCACCCACTTCTCTTCCATCATATCCAAAAGAGCCCGAAAACTTCCTTCGACACACGAAAGTTGGCCACAAACCTAGAAAAAATCATTTTTTATTAGTTCAAAAATGTAAAAATACAATCATACTTACTGGTTGTTAGGTACTTCAAATAAATTCGAAGCATCTCCTTAATTCCTCCGTGGCACATTTCGAACCTCCTCCATAAAAAATAGGGCTACGGAAATATTCTTTTTTTATTTTCTAAGAGCACAAATAGTTTGAACACAATCACTAGAAATTTTATTTTGTTTGTTTATTTACAATTTGTTTGTTTACAACTGAAATGTCAGTTGAGACAGAGCCACTGCTGCTTTTTCGCGTTTAAATTAGACATTTGACGCTTTTTTTGCTTTATTTCGCGATTAATTTTTCCAAAAAAATATTTAGCAACACTGAATCACGTAAGGCTATGCGAAAGAAAGAATGAAAGTTAGTGGAACGCATTCTTATACGAAAGTGAGTGAGTAGCCTTCGTTCGCACAAATTTTCTTTCGAGATCGTGGAACAGGCTGTTGAAGTTACAAGACTTTAGGACCAGAGTTGCAGTTTTTCATATTTCAACAATATGTCCTACCTTGTAATAATTGTATCATGAAAAAATGGACAAACAATAATATATTCAAATGTAGTAACTTTTTATTTCATAACTTTACACTGCCAAACAATCGAATAAAACATGACAACTTGTAACTTACGTATTTATGCAATTCTGCCAATATAATCCATACATTATTACATGTTATATTTCACAATTTTTTCAAACTTGTCCTACCTTGTATTCATCGAATTTCCCTTTCTCAATTTGCCGTGGCAAATGTTATGCGATATCAATTCCCTTTGTATGAATGTTATCATTTCCTGTTGAATGACAACATTATCTAGAAGTAATTTAAAATGCTGTTTGATAATTGACATCCGCGGTGAAAAGCTGCAACCGCCTTCGATGGCTTTAATGCTCACGTAACATAAACTAGTCTTTTTGGGACAGGAGAATAGTTGCATTACCCTAAATTTGCAAATATTCGGTGATAAATAAACGTTTAGGTATTGATATTAATTTACTGTGAATAGCCCGTAAAGATGTTAACACTTCGTATTGAATTGCATAATTTTCTACAACGGGGAAAAGAAGAGAAAAACGGTAAACTCATTGCACATTTTAAAAGAAAATACAACTTCAAATTATGAAAAAGTTCCCAAATATTAATTATTACAAGAAAAATTAAAACATTGCCCGTTTGTTATATTATCAAGACGAAATCATCTGACAATGTGTCACCATTTCGTACTGCATGCCAATGTAGCCGATATGAAGAAGAAGAAGTAATTTAAAATGCCGGTTGACAAATGACATTTGCGATGGACAGCTGCAGCAACTGGCGGCATTTTTAGGTTATTTCGCAACAACAACCAAACAAAGCAAGACTGGGGCAAGCCGCAACAAGCGTTTGCAAAATTTCAGCAAATTTTTATTAAATAAGTGTAAAATTAATAAAACAAATAACACTGCACGATGTCTACCACATTTTCTTTTGGCAACATTGCAAAGGAATTGCAAGAGGTAAAGGAGGAGGGTGTTACTTTTGAAGATAAACAATTGACATGGGACACAGCGGAAGATGGTGAGGACATTTATTAATTTAATTAAAATAGTTATAATTTACAATTTTCTACAGTTAAGGATGTTGTGGCCGCCTTGGAAACACAAAAAGTGGTGCACTATCTGAAATTGGATGGCAATACCTTGGGCATAGATGCAGCGGCTGCCATTGGCAAAGCTCTGGAAAAACATCCTGAATTTCGCAAAGCTTTATGGAAAAATATGTTCACGCGACGTTTAAAAACTGAAATTCCTCAAGCCCTGAAATCATTGGGCAGTGGTCTTATGGTAGCTCAGGCCCAATTGACGGTACTTGATCTTAGCGATAATGCTTTGGGTCCAAACGGCATGGTGGGCTTGGAGGATCTGTTACGTTCAAAAGTATGTTATAGCTTGCAAGAATTACGTCTGAACAACTGTGGTCTGGGTATTGGTGGCGGTCAAATGTTGTCGAAGGCTCTGTTGGATTGTCATCGTACAAGTACAGCTGCTGGCACACCGCTGAAATTGAAGGTTTTCATCACTGGTCGTAATCGTTTGGAAAACGATGGTGCCAAGGCAATTGCAAAAATATTCTCCACAGTCAAGACATTGGAGGAAATTGCCATGCCACAGAATTCCATATACCATGATGGTATAGCGGCCTTGGCGGAGGGTTTTAAACAAAATCCGAATTTAAAAATTTTAAATTTAAATGATAACACTGTGACCAGTAAGGGGGCCCAACATTTGGCTGATGCTTTCAGTTTCACTCCACATTTGAGGGAAATCAATTTTGGTGATTGTTTACTTAAGACTAATGGGGCCTATCATTTTGCCGAGGCATTGGAAGAGAATCATCGTGAATTGGAAGTTGTTGATTTGGGTTTCAATGAGATCGGTCCAGATGGAGGGTTGGTCTTGGCCACTGCCATGCAGAACAAACCCAATTTACAGAGGTTAAATTTAGATGGTAATCAGGTGAGTGGAGAATTTTGTGTTTTCTTTATTAAAATGTTATAATTTGTGGTATATGTTTCTAGTTTGGTTACGAGGGTCGTATGCGCATTAAGGAGGCCATGGACCAAACAGCCAATCCCGATGCCTTAGAAGAAATGGAGGAAGATCAATCCGAGGCCGAAGACGACGAAGATGAGGACGTTGAAGATGATGAGGATGAAGACGATGATACGGTGGATGAGGAAATCGATGAAGAAGATGAAATCTATGATGATCATCACAATGATACCACCGAAGAAGCCGATGAAGATGATTATGGTGAAAATGCCGCAGAGGAGACCGCCTATACCACAACCCAGGCATTTACCTCGAAAATGTTGAATGCCAATGAATCATTTATGTCCAATAAAAGTGTGACCTTTGCCGATAACACCACGACTGTGGGCGGATCAACTGCTGAGACGTTCTGCCTAAGTCAGAAGCCTTGCTCGCTGCAAATGCTTGATTCGCTGGTGGAAAGCGATAAATTACAGGCCTTCAAGAGTGTCATTGAGGTAAGAGAGTACGATATTTTTAAACCTTTTCTTTTAATTTTGTCTTTTCATTTTTTCCTAGCAATTCTCCGATGACAATTATCTGCTTTTGCTTATTTTCACCACTTTGAAATGTGCCCATTTGGCCCAGTCTTCTTCGGTGGCTTTGGACCTGGCCATGTCTTTGTATAAGGAATGTGTGGATTATGCTATCAAAACGAAACAAGAACGTCGTGTCCTAAACTATTTACTACAACAATTGGGTCTGCTGCGCAGTGAAATAAAATTCAAATCTTTGTATAATTTAAAATCATGTCGTTATGCGTTGCGTGAAACGTTGTACAAGAAACCCCTGGCCAGTGAATATATGAAGAATACATTTAAGGTTTTCCTCGAACAATTGGATGTGTAAATCAAAAACATTCCCCCCATACTCATATGAAATACCCAATATGGTTTAGTTATTTGTTAATCATTTTTTTGTGAAAGAAAATTATTTCCACATTTGTGTAGTAATTTGTTTTTTTTTTCTACCAGCGATTTTTGTAAAATTTGGTATAATTTATTTATTTATGTATAGAAACACTACAAAAGAAAATCGAAATAAATATCAAAGAAAATAGCTCATAATGGAATTGTTTCTTTGTGCGCCGAAGGTAGATTTTTTTTGAAGACCAGCAAAAGTTTTTAAAGATTTTTATGAAAAGGAAACCTCCAATATCCCTAAAGCCCTTTAAAATTGAGGAAGTCCTTCATGATGGACACTCAGAGAACCCCCATCCCAGCCAAGGTTAACCCTTATTTTCATATCGAATCGAAATAAAACCAGGAGCTTTTTTTGATTTAACACATTTTTGTTGAAAATATTTTTGTAACTTTATTTAATAATTTACACAAAAAAATAATAATTTTGAATCTTTTATCTAAAAGTGGTAAGGCAAAGAATAATTATTTTATTTTTTCTTAAAATTTAGGGAGTAAATAAATTCTAAATTTTTAGGGTATTTCGTTGAAAAAATTTCAAATATATTTTTTTGCGAAATACTAGGAAGATGTGTTTGTGTGGAGATTTTAACTTAAAATTAGATTTTTTTGAAATATAGTTTTATTAAATAAAATAATGTGTAAGGGAAAAATTCATATCGATTGATAACAATTATTATTTTTTTCTTAAAAAAATTATAATAAATTCAGATTTTTTATACAATTTTTATTTTTTTTTAATATTATATTGTTGTTATTATATAATTTTATATTAAATATTTGTTTTTTTTTTTAATTTATGAATTCTTTTTTAGTATTTCAATAATTATATTTTTACAATTTCTATTGTTGTTTTTACAATTTCCACATATTTTCATAATTTTTTATTAAATTTTAAAAAAGTTTAAAACTTTTTCTTTTTTTAATTTTTTTCTTCTTATTTTTCCAAATTTAATTTAACTTCCTTTTTGTTTTACATATCACACAAATGGCCCGGCAAAATAGATTTTCCGTTTTGTGGGCAATGGTTTTTGGCCGATGCCGATGCCGACGCCGGCGGTTTCAATAAATTTCTCAAAATTGGCCAAATTCTTTTTGATTTTTTTCGCCTTGGCATGATTTTGATTAATGACCACGGGGTTTATGGCCTCATTGAGTTGGCCAGCATCCTGTTCCTTTTCCGGTGGCATTGATTCATCCGAATACTCCTCATCCAGATTATATTCATCGGCAGTGGTTATCAAACTCTCACCATCCTCTTTGATATCGGCCAGCAGGGATGAGGACATGGCAACACCATCCCCGCCGCCTCCTCCCACTTTGCTGTGGTCGGTTTGGGAATTTTTACCATATTCCGCATCCAGATTGTACCAATCAAATTCCGCTTGTAGCGGTAGACTGTGTAGAGATTCTGAGGCCTCCAAGGGACTGGAGTTTAGGGACTTTCCAAACGGCATTGTGGCACTTTTATTGAAAATTGTCGTGCCCGCTGAGGAGGGCGGTGTGGGGGTTATGGGGGAATTTGGCAAGCTCATACGTTTATTGATCTCCTGTAGAATATTTGGCATATGTTTCCGTTTATATTGCTGCTGATAATTCGCGGAACTTAATTGGGGCCTCAGGGCGGAGGGGGCGGTCTTTAAGCCGCCCGTCGCAAAGGAATTATTGCTGCTATTCAAATTCAATTTCAAGGCAGAACGATCTGGTTTCTTGACGCTGGCCATAATAAGGCTGGAGTTGGGCGTACTTGTGGCCGGTGTCAGGGCCATAATACCCAGCGGAACCTTTTCCGTACGCGGTGTCATGGTGAGATATTCACTGTTCTGTTTCAGCGCCGATTTCGGAGCAATAATGGCAGCCACATTCGGTAACTTTGGTATGTCGGCAAAAATCTCTTCAATTTCTTCAGTCTTCTGGGAGTTGGCCTCCGAGACCACAGTGGCGTTATCCAAGTCTTGGTCATTTTCCACCACAGACTCCAGGTCTCTATCCGAGAGGGGAGCCCTGTGAATATCGGCCCTGATTTGAACACTTGTTATGCCCACATTCACCTCGGAAATTGAACAATAATCCGGCTCTACCAGGGTCTCACCCTCCTCATGGGCTTCATCGGGCGACTCGTCCAATTGTTGTAGGGATTTTTTAAATTTCAAAAGATTTGCCGGTTTTGGTGGCAAGGCTGGCGGCAATTTGTTACTTCTCAAGGTCAAGGCCTCCTGTTTGCTGCCACCCGGTCCAGGGCTGGATTCCATGTCTACATATAAGTTCGAGGAATTCATTTCCGAACCAATCGGCTCATATTCATTGCTGTAAATACTTTCATAGTTGAAAACCTCAGCCCCGGCACCGCCATTACTTACTGCCGGAGAATGGGCCATATAGGTTGTGGTTGTTGTTGTTCCTGCTGAGCTGCTGCTTTCGGCAGCCATGGCTGTCACCTGATAATTTGAGATCATATTACGGGTCTTGGCACTGGCCCCATCCTCTTCACCCTCCTCCTCCTCCTCGGTTTCATCATTGCGCGGCACATGGACCATACTGTTTTTGGTGGAGAAGTGAACACGTTTTCGATTCAGGGTACCATTGCGCGAACCACCGCCGGATGAGGCGCCAGCACCCTCATTACTACATCTACTATTGCTACGATTATTTCTACGATCACTTAGGGAGCTACGTCTAGGTAGGGTTGTTGTCGTCGTCGATGAAGCGGCCACTGAATTCTTAGGTGTTTGAGATCGATCATCAATGCCCTCCATGGATTGTTGCAACAAAATTTGATTGACACACTCCAGCACCGGGTTCACAGCTCCCTGGCCATAGGATTTGGAGGAGTTCACTCCACCGGTATTTGACATTTCCTCCTGATCCGAGGCACTGGCATACCAGTCATCCGTCGACGTCTCATAAATCTGTTTGGGTGAGGCTTCCGAAAATGCCTCCAAAGCCCGACCCCTGACAATTTTCAAAACACCCCCATCTTCCCTCCGATGCCTGGAGCCGGTGTCCTCCTCCTCGAAATCTTCATCTTGTGTGGGAGAGAATATACCATCATCTTCTTCCATGGCTGCCATCATGGCATTGCCACAACTCATGTCACTCGATTTACTCGACGAAGATTTGGAACTTTTTGTACTGGCCCGCGAATTGGAACGGGTAATCGACGATGTGGATGTGGTCTCCAGGCCACTGTGTTCCGAGTCTCGTTCACTTTCCATACACTTGACACCATGCATACGTTCCATCGCCCGTGAGTAGATGTTCTCACGTGAATCGTCACGACTAATGGTACTGGGATACTCCTCGGAATTGTCGCCGGCTTCAAGTGCGGGATCGTCAATGTTCATGGCACGCGAACGCATGTAATCACGAAATGTGCCAGAGGTTCGTTTGCTTGTGTAGCGTACACTGCGTCGGGCTCCAAAGAACGATGACGAAACGGTATCATCACTCGAAGAGCCGTGTTCAGTTGTGGGATCATCTGAAAAAAAAAAAAAAAAATAGAAAGAAAAAATTAAAAAAAAATAAATTTCGACATAAATAAAAATCCTACAAACTTCCTCTGTTCAGAAGCTAATAACGAAATTTGATAAAGAATAATTTTCTCCTTGACAACTTACTCCTAAACTCAAATCTAGAGGGAGCTATTGGCACCAAACCAAAATAACCAAAAATAATGGCCAAAAATTAAATACCAAAGTTTTTAACCTGTTTAAGGGGATATATGTTATAAATACGTAGATTCTTTGTTTGGAGACCCTCTGTAGAATTTGATAAAGAACATTTTTCCCATTGAAACCTGCCGCCTAAATTCAAATATAGGGGGAGCTATTGACGCCAAACTAAAATAGACCATTTTTTTCGCCAAAATTTTTATGTCAAAGTTTGAAGCCATATTTTGTGGGCATTCATTATATCTACATATTTCTGTAGTTTAGCAACACCCAGTGAAATTCGATAAGGAATCTTTTTTCCATTGACATTTACCTTCTAAAATCAAATACAGAGGGCGTTATTGGCACCAAACCAAAATGAAAACAAAGAATAACCCATAATTTTATACCAAATTTATACCCAGATTTTATTGATATATATTATATCTACGTACATTCTTCGTTTGGAGACCCTTAGTGAAATTTGATGGAGAATATTTTTTCCATTGACACCTCTACCTTAAAATCAAATATAGAGGGCGTTATTGGCATCCAACCAAAATACCCAAAAAATTCAATATAAATATTATACCAAAGTTTGAAGCCGTATTTTATGGACATTCATTATATCTACATATTTCTTTAGTTTTGCAATCCCTAGTTAAATTCGATAAGAAATCTTTTTCCCATTGACATTTTTCTTCTAAAGTCAAATATAGATGGCGTTATTGGCACCGATCCAAAAATGATCAAAACTAATGATCAAATTTTTGTATCAAATTTTGTTACTCGAATTTTTTTGGTGTATGTTATATACACAGATTTCTTATGTTTGGGGACCCTTAGTGAAATTCGATTGAGAATATTTTTTCCATTGACATTTACTACCTAAATTCAAATATAGGGGGAGCTATTGGCACCAAAACAAAACTGATCAAAAATAGTTGTAAAATTATTGTATCAATATTGTCACTCGAATTTTGTTGATATGTGTTATATCTACAGATTTCTTATGTTTGGGGACCCTCACTGAAATTCGATGGAGAACATTTCACATTCACAACTACCCCCTATCTTCAAATATAGAGGGTGTTATTGGCGCCGAACCAAAAGTAGCCGAAAATAATGGTAACATTTTTGTATCAAAATTGCCACTCCGATTTTGTGGGTATATGTTATATCTGCAGATTTCTTGTCTGTGAGGACCCTCAGTGAAATTTGATGGAAAGTATTTTTTCCATTGACATCTACCTCCTAAATTCAAATATAGAGGGCGTTATTGGTGTCGAAACAAAAGTGACCAAAAATAATGGTAACATTATTTGTGTCAAAACTGTTACTCGGATTTCTTTGGTATATGTTATATCTATAGATTTTTTATGTGTGAAGACCCACAGTGAAATTCGATTGAGAATATATTTCCTATTGACAACTTTTTTCTACAATCAAATGTAGTGGGTGTTTTTGGCGCCGAACCAAAAGTGGCCAAAAATAATGTTAAAGTTTTTGTATCAAAATTGTTACTCGGATTTGTTTGGTATATGTTATATCTGCAAGGTTCTTGTGTTTGGGGGCCCTCAGTGAAATTTGATGGAGAATATTTTTCCCATTGGCACCTACCTCATAAAATCAAATGTAGAGAGCGTTATTGGCACCGAAACAAAACTGACCAAAAATAATTGTTAAATTTTTGTATCAATATTGCCACTCAAATTTTGTTGGTATATGTTATATCTACAGATTTCTTGTCTGTGAGGACCCTCAGTGAAATTTGATGGAAAGTATTTTTTCCATTGACATCTACCTCCTAAATTCAAATATAGAGGGCGTTATTGTTTTATCAACTTTTTTGTGAATCAATCTTAAAGGCGAGTTTTGAGGTTATCTTTTGTATCATCCGATTTGTCTTCTTCGGCGACCTATAGTAGAATTTCATGTAGAATATTTCTTCAATTACTACCAAGACCCTAAGTGGTCAAATTGCGGGTCGGTTTGACCCGGAATCGAAATAAACCCTTTACATGAAAGTTTTTCTGTGTTTCAATATTAAAGGCGATTTTTGAGGGTTATCTTTTGTATCTTCGGATTTGTCTTCTTTGGCAACCTGTAGTAGAATTCAATGTAGAATATTTTCTCCTTTGATTTCAAACCTCTAGGTGGCCAAATTGTGGGTCATTTTAGCCCTGAATTCAAATACCCTTTACATTAACGTTTTTCTGCGAATCAATATTAAAGGCGATTTTTGAGGGTTATCTTTGGATCTTCCGATTTGTCTTCTTCGGCGACCTATAGTAGACCTTCATGTAGAATATTTCTTCAATTACTACCAAGAACCTAAGTGGTCAAATTGCGGGTCGTTTTGGCCCGGAATCGAAATTAACCTTTAAAGAGTACGTTTTTCTGCGAATCAATATTAAAGGCGATTTTTGAGGGTTATCTTTTGTATCTTCCGATTTGCCTTCTTCGGCGACCTATAGTAGAATTTCAAGTAGAATTTTTCTTTCTTTGCCAGCAAGCCCCTAAGAGGTCAAATTGTGGGTCGTTTTGGCCTGGACTCGAAATAAACCCCTAAAATGATTTTTTTTGTCAATCAATATTGAAATCGATTTTTGAGGGTTATCTTTTGTATCTTCCGATTTGTATTCTTTGGTGGCCTACAGTAGAATTCAATGTAGAATATTTCTTCAATTACTACCAAGTCCCTAAGATGTCAAATTGTGGGTCATTTTAATCCTAAATTAAAATTAACCCTTAAAATGAAGGTTTTTTGTGAATTAATACATAAGGCGATTTTTGAGGGTTATTTTTTGAACTTTCCGATTTGTCTTCTTCGGCGACATATAGTAAAATTTTGTGTAGAGTATATTTTCTTTTGGTACCAAATCTCTAAGAGGTCAAATTGTGGCCCATTTTGGTCCTGAATTCAAATTAAACCCAAAAAATCCCGCCTTTTCTGTGAAACAATATTAAAGCCGATTTTTGTAGAATATATATTATATATACCGATTTGAAATCTTTGGTGACCTGTGGTAAAATTTTCTCTAGATGATTTTTGCCTTTAATATTTTGCATGATAAATCATGTTAAGTGGTACATTTTTGGTAGTTTTGAAATTTATTAAAATTTACTCACCATTATTTCTCTTGCCACCAATATCCTTGAGATTTCCACTAAGGCCTGTTCCGGCCGTTCCCAGTGCCTGGGTCAGTGTGGTCTGTGTACCGGTCTCTTGTACCTCAATATCATAGAATTGCCTACGGCAATTGATGCATTGTAAGGCTTCCATAACTAGACAGTCTTCCTCGTCATCGAGTAAATCTTCGGTGTTTTTATTTTCCAATTCATTTTCCAGCTCATCATCCTCCACGACACCCTCATCGCGAGTGCATTCCTTGGCCTCAGCCTTAAGGCGACATAGCCTTTTGCGCAGAGCTCGATTTTGCCTTACCAAACGACAAATTTCCACATCCTTCGTTGAAAGTCGTTGGTTTACGGTTTTCATGTCATTTTTGAGTTTCGATTCGAAACAGAGCAGGGACTTCACCACACAGGCCAGCTCCTCGGAACGTCTGCGTTTTTCTTTGGCTAATTCACGTTGAAGCAATTTGTTTTGCTGTTCACTTTGGGCGAGCATTTGCAATAGCTTCCGCTTTTGGGCTTTTTCTTGGGCGGATATGGGCGTTGAGATCTGGGCGGCGTTTGGTGCGGGCGTTGTGGGCGAGGACAATAGCTGAGAAAGGGGAGTCTTTTGCGGCTGGGGTGTCATGGCTCCCTTTTTACGATCTCTCTTCGAGAGACAATCACCCGATGAGGAGTTCGATGATGATGAACGATGCAAATCGATTACTTTGAGGCTGGGTATCAGATTCAAGGTAATGGGGGAATTGTCGGTAACCTGAAAGAGGGAAGAGAAAAATAAGATAAAAATTAGTAATTGAAATATTTCCGTTATCAATGAAATTCTGCCGAACACACACACACCATTGATTGATAAGTTCTACCTTCGTTCGATTCGGTATTTGCCAACCTTTTCCATTGACGCAAAGTTATTAACTGAATGAATTGTTGAACTGAACGTCATCACCAAGGCACTACCACCTCTACCTCCATCCAGCACCATTCTTATTTGTATCAATGGTCTGGCTGGTAGGTATAACCATGTGTTTGGCATAAAATTGATATGGGCGGGTTTTTTCTCAATGCATTTTTAGTTCATGTTTTGAATATGGCCATAATAATCATCATCCCTCTCATTCTTATTAGTTCTGGTGAATTTGTTTGAAGCCGATTGGTTTCTGGGTGAAATATTGTTATGACAATAAGTGTAAATCCCAAAACACACAGACACACGCCTGGTAATGCAACAAAAACAACAGCAACAACAAGCGTATTGCAGGCCAAGGTAGGCAGGCCCAGATGTGCGTGTGTTTTTTTTTTCATAAGGGGTCTAATAAGGAAATTTTGTTTTGAAATTTCAATATGTGACAGTTGAAGTGAGAGGTAATAAGGAGGTTATGGGTTTGAATGAAATTTGAAAAAAAAATCCAAATTTTCAGAAACAAAATATAAAATAAAATAAATTGCTAAACAAAAAAATGGCAAATATTCGTAGAGGGTACTTGAAGAAAGTGCAGTTTTATGGCACTAGACATGATTTGACACGTTCCACTCTAAAGGAGAAATTAAAGAGAATTCTCTAAGGAATATATTTGCCAAATACATCAAATTGATATCAAGGACCTCTAGGGTAAAAAAAAAATTGAAAATAACCAAAAACGTTTTTTTCCAGTTTTGTAAAGAAACCATCCCAGAAAAATGAAGTATTGAAGTATAAGACTTTAATTTACTCAATTTCCTCCAAAGGAAAAAGTCGAGAGAATACTTAGACAAATATTTTTCCCAAATACATCAAGGAGATCCAAAACTTTCTAAGGGTCGAAAAACACCCATATCAAAACATGTATTAGGGTATATTTTTGAATTCTTTAAAAAAAAATCACACTAAGAATAAAATCGATTATTCGTTAATTAAACTTGATTTTACTCAATTCTCTCTAAAGGAAAAAGTCAAGAGAATACTCAGACAAAAATTTTTCTCAAATACATCAATATGATCCAAAACTGTCTTAGTGTTGAAAAACGCCCATGACCACACATGTATTAAGGTATATTTTTGAATTCTTTAAAAAAAATCCCACTAAGAATAAAATCGATTATTCGTTAATTAAACTTGATTTTACTCAATTCTCTCTAAAGGAAAAAGTCAAGAGAATACTCAGACAAACATTTTTCTCAAATACATCAAGGTGATCCAAAGCTTCCTAAGGGTCGAAAAACGCTCATATCAACACATGTATTAAGGCATTTTTTTGAATTCTTTAAAAAAATCCCACTAAAAATAAAATCGGTTATTCGTTAACTAAAATTGATTTTTCTCAATTCTTTCTAAAGGAAAAAGTCAAGAGTATGGTCAGACTCATATTTTCTCCAAATACATCAAGGTGGTCCAGACCTATCTTAGAGGAGAAAAGCGCCCATGACCATACATGTGTTAAGGGATTTTTTTGAATTGCTTAAAAAACTCCCATTTAGATTGATATCGATTAATCGATTACTAAACTTGATTTTATTCAATTCTTTCCAAAGGAAAAAGTCATGAGAACACTCAGACCAATATTTTTTACAAATACATCAAGGTGATCCAGACCTATCTTAGAGGAGAAAAACTCCCAGGACCATACATATGTTAAGGGATTTTTTTTTGAATTGCTTGCTTTTTTTTTGAATTGCCGATTTAGATTGAATTCGACTAGTAAACTTGATTACATTCATTTCTCTCTAAAGGAAAAACTCAAGAGTATGGCCAGACTCATATTTTCTCCAAATACATCAAGGTGATTCAGACCTATTTTAAGGACGAAAAACGCCCTTGACAATACATGTATTAAGCAATTTTTTAAAATTTGTAAAAAAGTCCGACTAAGAATAAAATCGATTATTGGAGTAGTAAACTTGATTATATTCAATTCTCTCTAAAGGAAAAAGTCAAGAGAATGATCAGACTTATATTTGGTCCAAATACATCAAGGTGATTCAGACCTATCTTAAAGGAGAAAAACGCCCTTGACCATACAAGTATTAGGGTATATTTTTGAATGGTTAAAAAATCCCACTAAGAATAACATCGTTTATTCGATTACTAATCTTGATTTTACTCAATTCTCTCTAAAGGAAAAAGTCAAAAGAATACTCAGACAAATATTTTTCCCATATACATAAATGTGATCCGAAATTATCTTAGGGTTGAAAAACGCCCAGGACCATACATGTGTTACGGGATTTTTTTTGAATTGCTTAAAAAAATCCCATTTAAAATGAAATCGATTATTCGGCTACTAAACTTGATTTTACTCAATTCTCTCTAAAGCAAAAAGTCAAGAGTATGGTCAGACTCATATTTTCTCCAAATACATCAAGGTGACCCAGACCTATCTTAGGGACGAAAAACGCCCATATCAACACATGTATTAAGGTATTTTTTTGAATTCTTTAAAAAAATCCCTCTAAGAATAAAATCGATTATTCGTTAACTAAACTTGATTTTTCTCAATTCCCTCTAAAGGAAAAAGTCAAGAGAATACTCAGGCAAATAATTTTCTCAAATACATTAAGGCGATCCAAAGCTTTCTAAGGGTCGAAAAACGCTCATATCAACACATGTATTAAGGTATTTTTTCGAATTCTTTAAAAAAATCCCACTACAGAATAAAATCGATTATTCGGTAACTAAACATGATTTTTTTTAATTTTCTCTAAAGAAAAAAGTCAAGAGTATGGTCAGACTCATATTTTCTCCAAATACATCAAGGTTATCCAGACTTATCTTAAAGGAGAAAAACGCCCATAACAGCACATGTATTAAGGTATTTTTATTGAATTGCTTAAAAAATCCTATATAGATTGAAATCGATTATATGACTGCTAAACTTGATTTTGCTCAATTCTCTCTAAAGAAAAAAATCAAGAGAAGGATCAGACTGATATTTTTCCCAAGTACATCAAGGTGATGCAGACCTATCTTAAAGTCGAAAAATCCTCGAGATAATACATATATCACAGTTTTGTGCCTTTCCGTTTTTTATTTGAATGGTTTAAAGAGGATTTTTATTTTGAAATTTCAAGCCGAACGGTTTCTATTATAGCTTAGTCATCAAGGAAGGAATTGAAAAGCGTCTTTTGAACAATATTTTTCCTAACTACAGTAATATCCTAGCTGGAGTTCTTTGGTTCTAAATCCATTCATGAAAAAATTGTTTAATTAAAATTGTCTACTCCCCTTTACTTCTATAGATTGCCATAATTATTTAGGAATTTAAGGTTTTTAGGGTTATTGTAGGTACTTCAACAGAGAGAATGAAGTGTTAGGCACCCCTTGACCAACATTTTCTGCAAGGACACCAATGTTCTACAAAGTCTCCTCGGGGTTCAAAAGTGGCACTGAAAAAAAATGCCACATTTTTATGTTTTCGAATTAAATATAGGTTTTTAGTCAATTTCATTCTTTTACAGCTTTGACATCAAGAACGGAATTAAAGAGCACCATTTGGGCAATATTTTTCCCAGCTACACGCATATCCTAGCTGGAGTACTTTTGGCCTAAAACCATTCATAACAATTTTTTTTTCAATTAAAATAAAATTTTCTACTCCGATTAACTCCTAAAGGTTGTCACAAATATTCAGGAATTTCGGGCTTTTAGGCTTATGTAGGTAATTTACCATAGAGAACGAAATACTGGGCACCTCTTGGGCAATATTTTCTCCAAGGACCTCAATGTTATTCAAAGCCTCTTTGGGGTTCAAAAGTCTCTCTGAAAAAATACCAGTTTTTAACAAAATATTGTCTTCCCCCTTCAAAATATATACACAATAAAGCATGAATTTCGGCCTTTTAGGTTAATTGTAGGTACTTTACAAAAGAGAACGAATTATTAGCCATCGATTGACCAACATCTCTCCCAAAGGCCCAAATGTTCTACAACCCCTTCTAGGGGTCGAAAAATCATACTAAAGAAAATACCACATTTTCACTAAATTACTAAAAATGTTTTATCCCCCCAAAAATAACTACAGTTTTAAAGTCTACCTCATTTGATGGCTTACTCGTCAAGGATGAAAATGAAGAATGTCCCTTGGGCAATATTTTACCCAAATATATTAATATTCCAACTGCAGTTATGTGGGTCTACAACCATTGATTAAAAAAATATTCACTTCTACTTCCCTTAACTTCTAAATAGCTCCACAATTAATAAGGAATTTCGGATCTTTAGGTTGATTTTAGGTACTTCGCCAAAGAGAACGAAGTATTGGTCACCCCTTGGCCAACAATTTTCCCAAGGACCTCAATGTTCTACAAAGCCTCCTTGAGGTTCAAAAACCGCATTGAAGAAAAGACCACCTTTTCACTAAATGTTGTATTTCCCCCTAAAAATAAATACACAATAAATCAGGAATTTCAGGCTTTTAGGTTAATTATAGGCACTTCGCCAAAGAGAACGAAGTGTTGGGTACCCCTTCCCCAACGTTTCCCCCAAAGACCTCAATGTTCTGCAAGGCCCCCTTGGGATTCAAAACTTGCACTGAAAAAAATACTCCCTTTTCAAAAACTGTTGTTTTTCCCTCTCGAAATATATACATAATAAATCAAGGATTCTAGGCTTTTAGGTTTATTGTAGGTTGTTTATCAAAGAGAACGAAGTTTTGGGCATCCCTTGGGCGACATTTCCCCCAAGTACTTCAATGTTCTACAAAGCCTCCTTGGGGTTCAAAAGTTTTACTGAAGAAAATACCACATTTTCCCTCAATTGGGTTTTATGTGTTCGAATTAAATGTAGTTTTTTTATTCAACGACTTTCGTTTACAGTTTATCCATCAAGGACGGAATTAAAAAGCGTCCTTTGGGCAATATTTTTCCCAGCTACACTCATATCCTAGCTGGAGTACTTTTAGCCAAAAACCATTCATGAAAAAATTGTTCCATTAAAAATACAATGTTCTACTCTCCTTTACCTTTAAATATTGCCTCAATAAACCATGGATTTTGGGCTTTTAGATTAATTGTAGGTACTTTACCAAAGAGAACGAAGTGTTAGCCACCCATTTACCAACATTTTTCCTAAGGGCTTCAATGTTCTACAAAGCTTCCTTAAGGTTCAAAAATCGCACTGAAAAAATACTCTCTTTTCAAAAACTGTTATCTTTCCTCCTTGAAATAAATACACAATGAATAAAGGATTTCGGTCTTTTAGGTTAATTGTGGGTATTTCATCAAAGAGAACGAAGTGTAGGCCACCCCTTGACCAACATTTTCCCCAAAGACCGCAATGTTCTACAAAACCTCCTTGGTGTTCAAAAATGGCACTGAAAAAAAGACCACATTTTCACAAACTGCTGTCTTTTCCTCGAAATTTATACACAATAAATCAAGGATTTCAGACTTTTAGGTTAATTTTAGGTACTTCTTCACAGAGAACGAAGTGTTGGGTACCCTTCGGCCAACATTTCCCCCAAAGGCCGCAATGTTCTACAAAGCCTCCTTGGGGTTCAAAAATCACACTTAAAAGGTTTGTTTTTTCCTCTTCAACACATCAAGTTTTCTTTACGTCATTCGCTCTCTCTCTCCGATATAATAAATCAAAGTTGCTAATCATCGGTTTGTTGTTTTTTGTTTTTGGTAAAAAAATCATAAATTATGAGGTATTTTATTTTTTTTATAGGGGGTATTCTTACCTATCGCAAATAGAATAGATATGGACGCGTCATAGGTTTATATCGCACATTTCTATCTTCTATGTCTGGGTAATGGCCATTTTTGCCTTTTGTCACCACTTATCAGTAAGTTTAGTAATATTTTGTTTTATTAATTGTTTATTAAATGTTAAATAAACAAACTTTTACAAGTTATCAATTCAGGGGTTTAGCAATAGTTTATTAAATGTCAATAACCTTTTTTAAATCGATTGCTGTTTGATTTCTATCGAAATTATAAAAACTGCTGCATGCTTTTAGGCGAAAATAAAAAACCTCATAGTTTCCCTAAAGAAGTTCCTTTTTCACTTCGAAATTCTCCAATTACGTGTTAAGAAAAGAAAAAGGTTCAACAAATTTGAATTGAAGAGATATTAAAATTTTCCTTTTTTTTCTTTTTCGAAATTTATCTGTTCAGAGGCTTAGCAATATTTTTTTTGAAAGTCAATCAAGTTTTTGATACGGACAGGTACTTGAGGGGATGGGGGTGGTATTTGTATAAGGAGCTTTAATTATTTATTTTTGAGTCAACTTCAATTTAAAAATGTCCTTTTTCCCATTAAAATCAAGTTTCTTTCTTGAATATCAAAAACTATTGCATACTTTTAGGCATCAATACAAAATTTCATCTTTTACTTACCCCCTCTTCCTGCTGCCGTTGTGATGACGAATTTTCACTATTCTTATCCTGCTGCTTCTGGGAATTCCGCATACCACCAAACGACAGGCGTTTGTATAGATTCGACGATGATGAGGAGAACGAGGAACTGCCATTTCCTCCTCCTCCTCCGCTGCCGCCACTGGAACTTTGTGTTGTGGCATCACTGCTGCTATTAAATTCCCCTGAACTAGCACCACTCGAGGCAACCAGTAGCGAATCTACCAACAAATCATGTTCACTTTCGGGAATTTTTTGATAATTTTGCAGGGTGGCAGGTCCTTGGACCTCAGGTTCAACAGCCAAGAGATTTTTCGAACATTTAATAGTCATTTCACTGGATTTTGTTGTTGCCGACGAACGAGTACTGGAGCTGGTGGTTTCTTCAGATTGTGATTTTTTCTTGTTGTTGTTGCTGTTCCTCACCTCTGTCTTCTCATAGAACTCACCATCAAAACTATGCCTATAGCTGCCGTGCAGACAATTAAAACTAAATCCCTCCTGCCCCGAATTCTCCTGATGATGTTGACCTGGATCGGAGTACCTCTTATTGGGCTGACTCGGAAAACTGTTGCGATAATTTTTCAATGTATCATAGGTATTGAGCAGATCGGATTTAAGAAATTTCTCCAGAAAATTTGTGGGACTTTTTGAGGTTATGTTGGAGAAAAATTTATTTGTTGAACTTCCGGAATCGGATATGGAAGAGCCAGTGCGACGATGTCCTTTGGAATTTGATGAACTTAGATTATTATGGGGGGTTGGTGTATCGGATGATGCTGATGATTCTGGATGAAAACTTATTGGAAAATGTTGTTGTTGTTGTTGTTCATGTCCTTGATGTTGTTGTTGCGTTTGAATGCCATAAATTTGTGTGGTATTCAAGAGACCAAACATGGCTTACAAACCGTAACAGAACAATGGTTCGTGTTTTAGCTTAAAAATACTGCTGAACAGTTGTGTGGACTGGGTTAAGGGTTGCCATGTTGCAATTCTTAAAAAAACTGTGGGTATTTGAATTTAAAGATCCTGGAATGAGAGAAAAGAGAGAAAAAAATTAGGAAAAATTGCCATAAAATTAAAAAATGTTTTTTAGAGAAAATATTTAAAAAAAATTAAAAATAAATATTTTAGAAAAAAATTTAATTTTTTTTTTGAAAAAAAAAATGTATAAAAAAACTATAAATATTTCAAAAGTATTTGTTCAAAGAATGTATTAGAAAAAGTTAAAACATATTTTTAAAAGAATTTTTTTTTTGAGAAATATTTTCAAAAAAAAAAAAAAAAAAAAAAAATTAAATTAAAATATTTCCCAAAAAATGTTCAACTACAAAGTTTGATTTAATTTTCGAGTTGTAAAAATTTTAAATAAAAAATAAAATATAAAATTGATTTTTTTTTTCTAAATAAATATTTTTGAAAAAAAAATTAAAAAAAATATTTATAAATATTTCAAAAAATTTTCTAAAAAAATATTTCAACTACCAAGTTTTATTAAATTTTCAAATATCATTTTTTTTCGTCACCATGGTATGTGAAATCCAATATTTTTTTTCAATACCTCATCGATGGAGTCAAGTCAATAGGGAATTAAGTAAAAGGAAATGGGAAGCGAAATATGATACAATGGACAAATGAAATATGTGTGTCATGTCACACTAACTGATTGACTCGAAATGTAATTAGAAAGGCAAAGATATGGATCAAAAGGAAATCAAAAAAAAAAAAATAAATAAATAAATAAAACAAAGGAAACAAAAAAAAAAAAATAAAACAAAGAAAAGAAAAAAAATAAATAAATAAATAAATTAATTAAAACAAAGAAAACAATAAATGATAATTTTATTTAAGTTAAAAAAAATAATATTCCGTGGTAGGCTTGGAAAAAATATATTTTTTTAAAAAATGCCTACCACAGGGTAGGCTCCAAAATAAATATATATAAAAACTCCATAATTTTCTATAGACCAATAAATAACATTTCTTAGAAAAAATATTTTTTAAAAAATCCCCGACTAGTGATAATCTTAGAAAAAATATTTTTAAACAATCCACGACTAGTGATAGTCTTAGAAAAAATATTTTTAAAAAATCCACGACTAGTGATAGTCTTAGAAAAAATATTTTTAAAAAATCCACGACTAGTGATAGTCTTAGAAAAAATATTTTTTAAAAAATCCACGACTAGTGAAAGTCTTAGAAAAAAAATATTTTTAAAAAATTCACGACTAGTGATAGTCTTAGAAAAAATATTTTTAAAAAATCCACGACTAGTGATAGTCTTAGAAAAAATATTTTTAAAAAAAATCCACGATAGTCTTAGAAAAAATATTTTTAAAAAATCCACGAATAGTGATAGTCTTAGAAAAAATATTTTTAAAAAATCCACGACTTAGAGATAGTCTTAGAAAAAATATTTTTAAAAAATCCACGACTAGTTATAGTCTTAGAAAAAAAATTTAGAAAATTCACAACTAATGAAAGTCTTAGAAAAAGTATTTTTAAAAAATTCACGACTAGTGATAGTCTTAGAAAAAATATTTTTAAAAAATCAACTACTAGTTGTAGTCTTAGAAAAAAATATTTTTAAAAAATCCACGACTAGTGATAGTCTTAGAAAAAAATATTTTTAAACAATTCCACAACTAGTGATAGTCTTAGAAAAAATATTTTCAAAAAAAAAATCACGACTAGTGATAATCTTAGAAAAAATATTTTTAAAAAATCCACGACTGGTGATAGTCTTAGAAAAAATATTTTTAAAAAATCCACGACTAGTGATAGTCTTAGAAAAAAATATTTTTAAAAAATCTACGAATAGTAATAGTCTTAGAAAAAAATATTTTTAAAAAATCGATGACTAGTGATAGTCTTAAATTTTTTTTTAAGAAAATCTACAATTAATGGTAGGCTTCGAAAAAATATTTTTAAAAAATCCACGACTAGTGATAGTCTTAGAAAAAATATTTTTAAAAAATCCACGACTAGAGATAGTCTTAGAAAATAATATTTTTAAAAAATCCACGACTAGTGATAATCTTAGAAAAAAATATTTTTAAAAAGTCCACGACTAGTGATAGTCTTAGAAAAAATATTTTTAAAAAATCCACGACTAGAGATAGTCTTAGAAAAAATATTTTTAAAAAATCCACGACTCGTGATAGGTTTGAAAAAAAAATATTTTTAAAAAATCCACTACTAGTGATAGGTTTGGAAAAAATATTTTTAAAAAATCCACGACTAGTGATAGTCTTAGAAAAAATATTTTTAAAAAATCCACGACTAGTGATAGTCGTAGAAAAAATATTTTTAAAAAATCCACGACTAGTGATAGGTTTGAAAAAAAATATTTTTAAAAAATCCACGACTAGTGTAGTCTTAGAAAAAATATTTTTAAAAAATTCGAGACTAGTGATAGTCTTAGAAAAAATATTTTTAAAAAATCCACGACTAGTGATAGTCTTAGAAAAAATATTTTGAAAAAATCCACGACTCGTAATAGGTTTGAAAAAAAATATTTTAAAAAAATCCACGACTAGTGATAGTCTTAAAAAAATATTTTTAAAAAATCCACGACTAGTGATAGTCTTAGAAAAATATTTTTAAAAAATCCACAACTAGTGATAGTCTTGGAAAAAATATTTTTAAAAAATCCACGACTAGTGATAGTCTTAGAAAAAATATTTTTAAAAAATCCACGACTAATGGTAGGCTTCGAAAAAATGTTTTTAAAAAATCCACGACTAATGGTAGACTTCGAAAAAATATTTTTAAAATATCCACGACTAGGGATAGGTTTGAAAAAAAATAGTTTTAAAAAATCGCCGACTAGTTATAATCTTAGAAAAAATATTTTTAAAAAACCCACGACCAGTGATAGTCTTAGAAAAAATATTTTTAAAAAATCCACGACTAGTGATAGTCTTAGAAAAAATATTTAAAAAAAAAATCCACGACTAGTGATAGTCTTAGAAAAAATATTTTTAAAAAATCCACGACTAGTGATAGTCTTAGAAAAAATATTTTTAAAAAAATCCACGACTAGTGATAGTCTTAGAAAAAAATATTTTTAAAAAATCCACTACTAGTGACAGTCTTACAAAAAAAAATATTTTTAAAAAATCCACGACTAGTGACAGGCTTAAAAAAAATATTTTTGAAATATTTAAATATTTTTAATTTTTTTCAAAATAATTTCAAGGGCTATCAAAAATTCTGGTATTATTTAAAAAAACATCACCTCGTGTATTCCAAAAATAAAAATCCAATTAATTGTTTTTTAATTAATAACCAAATAATTATATATTTTTATTCATTTAATTAATGATTTTTTCTTCGTTAAACAAAAATTTAAATTTTCTTTCTTCTCTTGGGTAAAGGTAACTCAAAACAATTAACACTCACTTTCTTTATGATAATCGATATTAAAAAAAAATAAACAGCAACCAAAAAAAAAGAAACATCATTAACAACAGTGGCTGCAAAAACAACAAGAACAACAACATAACAATAAATATGAAATACAATAGCAAGGTATGCCCCCTTCTCCATTCCCCACACACATGGCAAACATTCAATAGAAAATGAAACTTTTTCTTGTAAAACAATTTGAAAAAAAAAAAATAATCATAACGATCGTTAACAGGACGGATCGTCGGACAGACACACACATAGTTGTAGTGTTAACAATAAATAAAATATATGTTTTTGGTTTGTAATATTTTCAAAACAATTTATAAACGGGGGCTACTTGCACCAGCAAACGAATAAAACAAGTACCTGAATCTGGCAGGCATTTCATTTTCTTCTTCTTTAATTTTTTTCGAAATTATTATTCAAAAAACATAATGAACTATAAATCGTATTCCAACAAGCATGCCCAGAGCAGCACACTATTACACTCACAAAAATTAATTAGTTATTTGTGGGGGTAAAATATGAAAGCCAGACGTAACAAGCATTACAAAATTGAAGACATAATCACTCATACAAACGTCAATGACCATTAAATTATTGGAAATTTTGAATTGTTACACTAATAGGTATATACTACACTGGAGAATAAAAATTTGGAATAATCCTTCAAAAAAAAAAAAAAAAATGCCAGTAAAAAAATAATTTAAAAAAAATCTAAGATCCCTAAAAGACTTTGCAATAAAATCAAAATATTTCAATTAAAAAATATTTGACAAAATCGATTTTTAAATGTTTAAGGCTTTGGCTTGAAAACAAATATTTTTAAATATTTTCAAATCAGTGATAGGCTTGGAGAATTTTTTTTTTAAATTCACGATTTGTGGTAGATATAAAATATATATTTTTAAAAACATATTTAAAAAAAATTAAATTTTAATTTAATAATTTTTAAAAAATCCATGCTTTTTTATAGACTTGAAAAAAATATTTTTAAAAAATTCACAACTTGAAAAAAATAATAAAAAAACAGTGATAGGCTTGAAAAAAATATTTTGTAAAAAGTTCCGGATCAGTGAAAGGCTTGGAAAAAAATATCCTCTATCTGTGATAGACATAAAAAATATATTTTTAAAAAATATTAAAAATAGTTTTGAAAAAAAAAAAAAATTCAAAAAATCCAAGCTCTCTTATAGGCTTGAAAAAATTTTTGATAGACTTGGAAAAAATATTTTTAAAAGATCCTTGATCTAAAAGAGGTTTGGAAAAAATATTTTAAAAAAACTAATAATCTGTTGTAGGCTTGAAAAAATATTTTTAAAAAATCAAGGCCTGTGAAAAAATTCAAATATCTATAACATTCTATAGATCTTAGTAGAAATATTTTTAAAAATTTCCCATCTTAGACAGGCTTAGAAAAGATATTTCAATTTTTTTTTTAAATCCACGACTTATGATATGCTTGGAAAAAATATTTTAAAAAAATCCACTACATATGATAGGCTTGAAAAAATATTTTAAAAATATCCTCGATCTACAAGAGCCTTTAAAAAAATATTTTTAAAAAATCCACGACTAGTAATAGTTTTTTAAAAAATATTTCTAAAAAATCAATA